TGCCCTCCTCCTGCCTGAGCTGAGCCTGAGCAAGGCAGGGCAAGGCACAGAGACTTGCCTGCAGCTCCTTGATCTTCTTCTGAAATTGTATGCCTAGAAGTTGCTCATCCTCGATCTTGCTCTGGATCTGGCTGATTTCAAAGTCTTTCCTTTGGGACAAGTGAACCGTGTTAGAGCTCCAAGAAACTAGACAAGTGCTGCAGCCCAGCACTCATGGGCCCCAGAGCCACACTTACTTCTTCAGTTTCTCATCCAGCTGCTGCTTGTCATTCTCCAAATCCATGATGCTGTCCTGGGCCAGCTTCAGGTCTCCTTCCAGTTTCCTCTTTGCTCTCTCCAGGTCCATGCGCAGTTTCTTCTCTTGCTCCAGGGACCCTTCCAGCTAAACACAACAAGACCATCAGGGCTCTGCCAGACAGCTTGGACTCCATACCTGTCCTGTTCCTGCTTTGTATCTTATGCTTACATCATCCACTTGCTGTTCCAGCTTGGTCTTGGCTTTGGTCAGAGTATTGACTTTGTCTTCCTCTGCCTGCAGGTCATCCAGGGTCTGCTGATGTGCCTCTTGGAGGGCTTTCTTCTCTTTTGTCAGCTTCACAATGGTCTCATCCAAAGCTGCCATCTCCTCAGTCAGGTTTTTTACCTTTGAGAAGAAAAGGAGCAAGCACAGACAGAAAATGGTGCTTAAAACTTTCTAACAGGACAAATTTTTCCAGAGTGCGAGTGACAGGTTCTACCTCATACCTTGTTTTCGGTGGCATGTTTTTCCTTCTCCACCTTGGCCAGTGTTAGCTCAAGGTCATCAATATCTTTCTTCAGCTCTGAACATTCATCCTCCAGCTTCCTCTTCTTGGCTGTCAGCTCAGCATTGATTTCCTCTTCATCCTCTGCCCTTTCAGTCACCTCCTTGACTTTGGCTTCCAGCTGGATTTTGGTTTTGATGAGCTGGTCGCACCTTTCCTCAGCATCAGCCAAAGCGTCTGCTTCCTGTTAGGGAGATGCCATTTTTAGGTATATGGTTTTTTGGGGAATATTGAGATACTTAATCTTCATAGTTCATGGTCTTGGATAGTAGTTTTGTAGTTTAAAATTTGATTCACGTTCCAACAGAATGACATTTAATATAAAATTGATTTTTATATTGTGGGTTTTGAAACAACCAGGTTTAAAAGCTAAAACCAAGTAAATTCCTTTTTAATCTACCTGAAGCTATGAGTATTTATGTATTTGTGCAAGGTATAGAGTCCAATATTATCTCATAATATCAAACATAGGATCAAAGTGCATGATAAGAAAAAGATATAAGAATATCTCAGCATACACTGTAGAAAAGTGTCACCTAAGTAATATTTTGACTGCAGATACCTCACAGTCCTTATAGAAGCTAGTTATACCTTTTAGAGCACCGCTAAAAGAACAATTGAACTGAACTAAATCAAAGTTTCTATTTGGTTTGATAATGTATTTATAAATAGCAACCTGATAGTCACAGTAGAATTAGGAGAATGCGTGCTGGTGGTACTCACAGACTGAACCTGGAGCTGCAGGTCATTTTTCTCCTGCACCAGTTTCACCATTTTCTCTTCCAGCTCCTTCCGCTTTGCCTCAGACTTTGCAAGCTCCTCCTTGGTTTTCTCAAATTCTTGTTTCATGTTGGCCATCTCCTTCTCAGACTCTGCACTCTTCAGCAATGGCTTGATCTTGAAGAACAGCTTCATCCATGGCCAGTGTTTGACATTCATGAATGCACGAATGTTGTACTGGATGCAGAAGATGGATTCCCTGAAAGATAAGTCAAATTAATATTCAATATTTACACCATGATGACACAATAAGCCAAGTACAGTGACCCTGATCTAAAGTCTACCTTCTCTCCACCATTTTCTGGTACTCCGTCCTCGCCAGGAAGCCCCTGCACCTGGCCTGGGTGCGGGTGATGAGCTGTGCCAGCTTCTCATCCCTCATCTCTTCCAAAAGGCCTACCAGCCCAGCTTTGAAGAACACCTTAGGTGAGAACAAGAAAACAGATGCAGTGTCAGTAGCCTGATACCCTGCCCTCATGACATACTCTATGGAAGTTAAAAGCAAAACCACAAAGAACATATGTGGTGGCAGACACTGTTTTATAACAGGCTTCTGGGTACTTGCAGTTGAGGATCTATAATACCCAGACATTTTTCTTTGATTTTTATTCACCCATGATTCTTTTATTCAACAACTTTGTCTTAAATAGGAACTTGATTAACCCTTAATTAAAGTCATCCTAATACCATGAATTTCAGTTCATTCAGTGTTGAGTAATCAAGAATCTGGTTGATTTATTTTACAGTATTTCTTATACCCTATTGGATCATTTCATGTGCTCTCTGGAGTATCTGAGTGTCAGTATTAAACCATGCTAACCAAAACCACGTAGCACTTGAAGCAAACAATCTTTTACCTTAGTGTGACCAAATTTGTATTGAGTATGGTCTATGTCAATCGATCCAAGAAGTTTCTCACATGCCTTCTTGCTGTCAATGAACTGTCCCTCTGGGATAGCGCTGGCATTTAATACTTTGTATCTGAGAAAGAAAATGGAAGGACTTGCTTTGAACTCCAGAATATTAAGGGTCTTTTCCAACCTAAGTGATTCCTCTGAACAGGAAGAGGTCTGTTGTTGAGACCATCTGGCAGGTACATGGCAAGAAAGAGTCTCAAGAACTGTTGAGAATAAACAGCACTTGTTAAACTGAAAGTTTAGAGAAGACTTTAGGCACAGGAGGGGAAGGTTAGATTTCAAAAGCTAAGATGGGTAAGGTGATCCAGTAAGAGAATGAAGTCTGACCTCTGTTTAAAATCTGCATACAGGACTCTGTTGGGAAACCCTTTCCTGCAAATCCTGATCCCTTCCAGCACGCCGTTACAGCGCAGCTGGTGCAGCACCAGCTCGTGCTCCATGGCACCTGGCAATGGAGAGCACAAATACATGCCATGTTCTGTAATACAGTGAGGAAGAGCTCCACTACACTGAAAACCTTCAATGTACATGTAAGTCTCTTACCAGGTGTTTTAGTTTCATTTGGAATGATGCACCGTACAAAATGGGGGTGGGTGCTTCTCAGGTTGGTCATCAGCTTGTTTAAATTCTCCTGGGAGAGTCATTAAGAAAAGCTGATATTAGCAAATGTCATTTCTGCTGTAAGCATCAAGTCCTCCTAAATGAGATACTATACAAAAATCAGCAGAACCCTGAACTCAAGCTCTCTGCACCAGTTTTTCTGACTTTCCACAGATATTTGCTATAATTACCTAGTAATCTGAGTAATGTTTAGGAAAAACTGTACTCTTAAATATACAATTTTAATACATTTCACTGACTCTAGTGGAATGCCTTCATTTGAAAAGATATCCATTTTCTATTGGATATACCCAGAGAGATAAAGCAGAAACCCTAAAAGACAGTGTGAAGCATTCTTCAGTAGGTATTTAGGCAGGGTCATATGGAGCACACTACATAGAACCTTTGTGTTTTCCCTACTGAAAGCAAAAGGGACAAAACCAACAAGCTGAGTTTTAAATGTCTAGATTATACATTTGTCTTGTAGGGTGTGCTGAGATGAATCCCAGCCTTAAACAAATGGAAAAACTGTGCATTCAGTGAAATGAAGTATGAGTAGATTGACTGGATTTATTCCTAGCAGAATGGAGCCCAAGAACTTCAGAATCTTTTAACAGAAACAAATCAAAACAAGACTTAGTTGTAGTAATTGGTGGGTTTACTCCTTGACTTAGGAGGAAATAATGAATTCTTTACTGTACCCGAAAAAGAGCTGAGACAGTCTGGAAGGAAGAACCCTTCTTCTTGCCTCCCTTCTTGCCACCACCACCACCACTAGCCTCAGCTAAATTGAAAATAAAACAGATTTTAGAATTTGTTTTGGACTTTTTTTTATTCCTTTTTGCAAGCTGTAAATCAGCGAAAACATGGAATTCAAAGAACCAACCTGCATCTGCTCCACCATAGTTGGCAAAGAGTAAAGCCAGGGTCTTCACAGATGATTTCTGGTACAGCCCAATGACAGTTTCATTCAGAGGGTCCTTGTTCTTCTCTAGCCACCCTGTGATGTTGTAATCCACTGTGCCAGCATAGTGCACCAGGGAGAAATGGGCCTCAACCTTGCCTTTGGTAGGTTTTGGCTTCTGGAAGTTGCTGGACTTGCCCAGGTGCTGGTCATAGAGCTTGTTCTTGAAAGAGGTGTCAGTTGCCTTGGGGAACATGCACTCCTCTTCCAGGATGGAGAAGATGCCCATGGGCTGGGAGAAATCACAAGAAGAAACCAATTGTAATTTATCTTTCAAGGCAATAATGATCTTCACCTAGGCACAGTAATGGAACATAGACTGAGATACACATAAGAAAATATTATTATTTAATTCCATTTTCTTCTAGAAAGTGGTATTGATCACACTGATACTTACATTTTTGAACACAAAATTACTCATAAAAGAAACAGAAATTAATTTTGTTTCTGTTGACAATGTGCCCTGTAAAATCCGAGCATACACAGATGTGTCGGACAAGTTGAACGTGAGCCATTGCAGCAAAGGCACCAACTCATCCTCAGCCACACCGTGCTGCTCACAGCTGAAGGGAGTTAATCCTTCCCCTCTACTCAGCTCTGAGAAGAAACATCTGGAGTGCTGTTCCAGCTCTTGGCTACCCAGCACAAGGGAAACATGAACATAGAAGATCCCTTTGGAAAATGAGACCAAGAGATTCCATGCATGGAACTGATTTGAAAGGAAGGATACCTTCTCAATGAGCTCAATGCAGGCAGCCAGGTCCATCCCAAAATCAATGAATGTCCATTCAATGCCCTCCTTCTTGTACTCCTCCTGCTCCAGCACGAACATGTGGTGGTTGAAGAACTGTTGCAGTTTCTCATTGGTGAAGTTGATGCACAGCTGTTCAAAGCTATTGAACTGGAAATAAAATAAAAAAGATGCATATTTGAAGATGCAGGAATAATTGCAAGACCTCCTCTTTTAAAAATAAGGAATGCAGTTAACTTGACTTCCCATGCATTTCTTCAGTCTGTTTTATGACATTATGAAAAAGAGAAAAGGCTCAAAATAATTGTCCACAAGGAAATTGTTTTCATTCACAAAATTTAAAGATAAATTATACATCCTGTTTAAAGATAAATTATACATCCTGTTTAAAATGAGACCATGTTACTGGGAGAAAGAACCCAAGCTTAGGACTATTGTGATTACATGTCTTTATACTGTCTTGGGTCTGATCATATAAACAATGAACTTTTTTGATTGGACCATTTTGAACCTTTGATTTTGCACATCTTTAAATAGCACAAGTCCTTTGAAAGGTCCTTTTTTTACTTAAAAAAGACAAATAGCTATAATCATGTGATGATGTTCTCTTTAAAAATGTCTCCCAAATTGATCGTAACATTCAGTTGTCAGTTCCAAATAGCTCTTACCAAATCTTACTTACATCAAAGATCTCAAAGCCAGCAATGTCCAGCACACCAATGAAGTACTGCCTGGGCTGCTTCGTGTCCAGCTGTTCATTGATGCGAACAACCATCCACAGGAACATTCTCTCATAAAGCGCCTTTGCCAAGGCACCCACAGCATTGTGCACCTACAGGGAAAAATACGTGGAGTTACAATACAAGGCACAGGAGAATCAAAAGGATATTCATTCTACACATGGTTACAGTTTGCAGCATGTCTCTTACCTGCTGTGCTGTTTGGCCCTTGGTCACGTATTCATTGCCCACCTTGACTCGGGGGTAGCAGAGGGCCTTGAGCATGTCAGCTGAGTTCAGACCCATCAGGTAGGCAGCCTTGTCAGCAACTGAAAAGCCAGAGGAAAAAGGAAGAATTTTATGTCCAGCAGGTTTTGAATCCTAGAGCATTCCCTAAAGGCTGAATGGTTCAGATTTCTAGTGTTTGAAAACTTTTGATAGACTCTTGTAGAGGGAATCTTTGTAACATCACACTTGCCATTATGCACATTGAGCTTTTCTAAAAATAATCAGTTTGAAATTTTTCACTGCAACACGCAGAAAGTAATGAAGTTTTCAAAAATCTCCTGGCACAAAACTGAAAACTGAAGCTTGCTAGTCTGAGTGCAGTACACACGCAGCTCAGGAGCTGCAGTGATAACAGTCAGGTACTGATCTACATTCAGGTGATCAAAACCAGAAAATAATTAGAGTGGAATGCAGAGCTAATATCTCTATTCTCCTTCAAACCCACATCCTACAGCCTTTTCTGAGCTTTTGTTTCTCATATTCAATAAAACTTATTGGGTGCTCCCCACCTGCCTTGTCCTTTAACAAGAGGAGGCATTGCTCACAGAACTGAAGACAGGTTGTAGGCCCTGCGCCAACAAAGGAAAGGAACTAAATAACTCCTCTCACAGCTGACTTTCCTGAGCACCTCATAGGTGAAGGTGCATGGGAATATGGTTCCCTGTCGTGTTAGAACTGAATCACTGGGCTGTTTCACAATTCCAAGCCATATTCCAGCAAAAGTATGACTAAAGGAACATCCATAATGCCTTACTTCTTGAAAGAGTATGAAGACCAATTTAAAGTATTAATTGTTCATAGCATAAGTTATGTAAGTCCTTAAATCAGAGCATTTCATGTACTAAGGACAAGGGACAGCTGTTTTTTCCTGGATGATTGTTTTCTTTGGAATCTGAAGTCTAACAGTGAAAAACTTTTGCTGTCTTCAACATATGTAGTGGCTTACAGAGGGTTAATTATTGAGTTTGATAATACCTTCAGTGCCTTCAGGCTCTGCTTGCTCCTCTCTTGGTTTCTGCTTGAATTTCAGGTTCCCATAGTGCATGACAGCCCCTGTCAGCTTGTAGATGGCTGTCTTTTCATCAGCAGTGAAGCCCAAGATGTCAATGGCACTCTGGTAATACAATGAACAAAGTGAAATATTTGCACGTTATCTGCTGCATGACCTGTGTCTCTTGACCTTGGCCTCTTGTACATTACTTACATCTGTTGCCATCAACTCCTCCTTGTCATCAATGCTGGGGACAGTGATCTCACCTTGACTCACAAAAGGGAAGTCAAATGGGTTGGTGGTGATGAGGAGCATTTCTGAAAACAAATGTGTTTGTGGGTTAAATTTAATTAATCTTGTAAAAGAGTTGAATGTTGTTCAGAGATTTTCCTCTCAAAAGCTCAGGGATGTCTCCTACCAATTAGCTCTGGCTTCTTGTTGGACATGATCTGATAAAAGATGTGGTAGCTCCTTTCCGCCTTGAGCTGGAAAGTGACTCTGGACTTCTCCAGCA